GAAGCAGGAGTGGCATCCACTTCCATAATAGCTTGCCTCTGGAAACCCTATGAACCTCAAGAGAGGATGAAAGTCACACAAGTGTTGAGGCCTTTCCTTCATAGGGTTGCTATGAGTCGCCTACAACTCAACAGCACTTAACAATAACAATAACATATAATATATAATAATGTAAGCTTGATTTTTCATCATTACACCTGTTTAAATGAAAATACTAAAATAATTTTAAAAATTCAAATGGGACTTTCTTCATGCAAGAGAACAAGGTAAACCTCAAATTCTCACATCTAGACAAAAAATATAACTTGACACTCTCAAATAAATTATTTATTCTCAGCTCAGTGAAAGGAAATTAGGTTATTAGAGTCATTTCATCTGAGTCACTGGATTCATCCTTTAGTTCCAATTCTAAAATTTTGTTTATACTTGTAATGTTGGGAACACTGCGGCTATATCCTTTCTTCATATCTTTTCAATCTGTATGTTGAGCAAATTATTTCAAAAGGTGGACTATATGAAGAATATGCCATCAAAACTGGAGGAAGATTCATCAACAAACTGTGTTATGTAGATGACTGACACAACCTTGTTTGCAGAAATGAAGACTTCAAATACTTACTAAAGAAGATTAAAGACTACAGCCTTCAATATAGATTACATCTCAACATCAAGAAAAATATCTTCACTGGACCAACAGACAACATCATGATAGAAGGTGAAAAGATTGAAGTTATCGATGAATTCATTTTAAATGGATCCAAAATCAACACTCTAGGGAGTCAGCATCAAAAAATCAAAAGACATGTTGCACTGGGGAAATCAGCTGTCAAGAGCCTCTCCACAGTGCTAAAGATGAAGAAAATCAGTTTAAAGACTAAAGGGTGCCTGATTCCAGTCATGGTATTTTCAATTGTTTCTTATGTATCTAAAAGTTGGGAAATGAACAAGAAATACCAAAGAAGAAATGATGCCTTGAATTGTGGTGCCGGCAAAGGGTACTGAACAGCCATAGACTAAAAAGCAAACAAATCTCTCTTGGAGGATAAGCAACCAAAGTGTTCCTCAGAGGCAAAGATGGTGAAATGTCTCATGTACTTGGGGAATATTGTCGGAAGTGGTCAGTCCTTAGAGAAAGATATCATGCTGGGAAAGGTGGAGGGACAGCAAAAAGAGGATGACCTTCAATAAGATGGACTGACACAGTGACTATGACAATGGGTTTGAGCATGGTAGAAATTATGAGAATGGTGCATGACAAGGCAAGATTCCAATTATTCACAGGGTTTCTATGAGTCATAGTCAACTCACTGGTACCAACATAGAGCATTAAACTGATAAGAGCAACTCAAAAAATTAGATGAGAAGAATCTTAGAAGACAGAGTTTTTGTTTGGTTTGGTTTTGTTTTTTTATTAATTTAGTTTGTTTATTTTTCATTTCAATGAACATCTACAGAGATTTTGGAATTCCATTCATTCATTGTTGCACCCTTCTCCCC